GAGCTTTCGTTAAGCGTGGAAATATTATTGGGGCCAATATTTTAGATTGGGACAATCAGTAATTGAGACCAGTCGGATGGGATTACGTCCAGTTCCCAGATTCTACCTAAGATCTCAGTCAACCTAGCTGCTAAAACTGGACTACCATCCTTAAATATCTAAGGGGTCAGTCTATCAGGACCTGCAGCTCGCCCTTGCTTCAGATTTCCTAACGCTTTCTCAACTTCATAAAGAGTCGGGGAACTTACGTCGAATCGCCTTACAGGATGACTGGAGATCGTGGGTAACCGAAGAGTGGCTTGAGGCCAGTTGAACTGATCCCTAGTGTTCTAATAATCATTACAATCTCCTGGATTGAGAATGGATAATAAGACCATCCTTTTCCGAAATAGTCTCACTCACATTTGGGTTCCTAATACCAGTTTCCTTGATGAGTCTGAATAGTTGCCTTCTGTTGCCTATCGCCGTTGCCTTTTCCATCTCTCTACATTTCTCCACCCACCACTGTTCTCGATCATTGCGCAGACTTTTTGTCAGCCTATGTCTAAGTTGACTCCGCTCCTCATCGCACTCAGAGCCAGGCGGGATGAGTTTTCGAGCATCCATCAGTTCGGTAGATGCTACGGAGTTCCACCGCTTTATTCTAGCCTTATGGTTTACCTTACTAGTAGATATCACTGCTGTTTCGACACTTTTGGATATCGTTCCAACCTGCTTCCGGATGGGAATCGCTTATATGGTTGCCTAACTCTCTTACTAGTTTTTCCTGAAATATATTCCTAGCTTTATTATCATTAAGTGAAACCCTAAGAGGCTTCCTTACGGTGTCTTTCCTACGCCCAGTAAGCCTTAAACAAACACGCACTCGCACTAGGGCACGATCTGAATCTAAACATGTACCCCAGAACGAGAGACAGTCCTCCATCGAACCCCTCCACCGGTGGATGATGGCAATATGATCTAGTTGGGTCCAACGTTGTGACGACTTTGGGGGTCGCCAGGTCAAGAGATGTTTTCATTATGCCCAAAGTTAGTGTTTGCTAGGAATAGTCAGTTATCTGAGCATACTTGCAACAGACGGTCGCCATTGTCAGTTCTCTGAGCTGCGACACCATAACATCCACCTAGGTGTCTTTCATTTTCACTCAGTCTATCTACTTGAGCATTAAGGTCACCAGCCATTATTACTATGTCAGAGCGCCTAGCTTTTTGGAGGTTCGAAAGTTTTCTGTAAAACTCATCTTTTACCTCATCTGAACTGCAGTCAGTGGGGGCATAGGCAGATACGACGAAGAGGCAACGGCGAGTGTCCGAGTCCTTACTTTCCCGTTTAGTCGGACAGCGCACAAGCGATTATCTACTGGGATCCAATCTAGGAGAGATTGTTCAGCTCTACGACTCAATGCCATACCTATGCCAGCAAGACCCCTGGAAGCAGCATCAGGGCTTCCAGACAAACGAAAAATAAATCGAGCTGCTTCTTTGTTTTGACAAGGTGAAATCAGACTAATAATTTTACTATGATCGTGTATGCGCGTTTCCGAGACGCAGCATACATCGATGGGACGAGATTCTAAAGTCCTAGCTAATGAAGCCTGTTGCCCTATTTGACACAATGTCCGTACATTAAAATCTCCAACATGTAGTCTAGAACGGGGTTTCAAGAGACCAGGAACGACGTTTCGTGAACTCGCATCGTTTGCATTAGCGGTGCAGTGAGATAAGAGAATGTGAGTAGAGTTAGTTGTGGAGAGAAGAGAGGTATGTGTGGGTGTAGAAAGGATTTGATTGTGACCGATTAGACCTCATGTGCTTTTATGGGTATGAGGGAGGAAGTTACTTCCCGGCTGTTCTGAGTTCGAAATCAGCTTCGAGGATTGCACCAAGTTGATAAATGGTCTACTAAATACGCTGACGCCTCAAGATATCCTTCGGGTGACCTTGCTGAAGGTTTATAGACTGCAAGGTCCAACGGACTCAGGGAAACCAAACCAGGTTTCTAAAACTAGTACTTAAATATTTCAGTGAATGGACACAAAGTGAAGGGGTCAGGAGTTTTTGTCCGTAGACTTATCACTCGCGGACGGTAGTGGAATACAAGAGGCCGAAAAAGGACTAAAACTGAGGTTAGATGCCTGTGAGGACCTTAGAGTCATAAATTTTTAGGTGGAGGCTTCGATAGAGAATGGTGCCAAAGTCACTTTGGGTGCAGCACAAAGTTACTTAAGTGGTCTTCAGGTTTGTTATACAAATACTCGGAGCTTACTCAATAAGCGATCGGAGTTGTGTAGGTGAAGACGTAATTGTCACCACAAGAATACAGTCGACTTAGTTTGTAGACAATATACTAACTTGATTTTGAAAATCTCACATTAGCTAGAGCCGACAGAATCCAGAAACGTAAGGGAATGGGAGTGACCTTATTCATCAAAATGCTATCCACTATCGTTATCGACGACATATCCCATGAAAGTGGGACGTGCAAATTAATTAGTTGCCGCTTGAAGTGCAAAGGATAAGGGCTACTGGTTAGCTTGGTGTATTGCAGCCCAAACTGTGAGGTGAATGAGGTCTTGTTAGACAAGCTCCACAGTTGGTCTTTAAGTAGTCAATATTCAACTTTTGGAGACTTGAATGCATCTTCGGTAGACTGAGAATATTTAAGGACTAAATTGTCAGAAAATTTTTTCAAACAGAAATTAGTTGATGTGGTTATTGCAAGTGACCTAGAGCAACATGTAGAAGAAGCAACTAGGTACAATCCGGACTCCCAACTATCCTTACCAGATTTCATATTAAACCCAGTATGAAGATGGCATCACAAATCTAAACAATATACCCCTGGGTTAGAGTGACCAAGCAGTTCTAGTCTTTTACCTCCATATCGTTATCAACAACGATGTGTCAGCTCAGGACACTGAATTTCTGGAGGGCAAACATATAAGTCATACGCTCAGCAGACTGGACAATAGAACCGGAATCCCCCACGCAGACGGCTTGAGAGGTTTCCATAAATTTGTGAGTAAAGGTGACTGCACCCCACATTTCTTGTATTACACTAAAGAACCTGGGAAATTCCCCACTATGGTTCCGTAAAGGGGTTCGCACGCTTCTGAGTAAGAGGAAAGGGATGTGGAGGAACTTTAGGACATTTGGAACTGATGAGGCAAAATCTCAACGTCGGAACGCCCGAAAATTTGTGTATCAACCCTCCATAAGTCTAAAATATCTTATGAATAGAAGGTAATGAAGGAAGCTATAGATTACTCAAAACGTCTATACTCACCCATCAACCAACGGACCAAGAAAAGAAGAAACATACCAGCATTATGGGGAGACAGTAGTACTGCATCACTGGTGGAAGACGATTATGGTAAAGTTCAAGTATCCTCAAACTACTTTAGCGATCTATAAACTAGAGGTGTCGCTTCGTCTGGTTCATATGAGCCCCTCCATACATACTCTAGATATTGTGGCGCTCAAGGAACTCGATATCTTCAATCTATTGAGTAAGCTTGATTCAGATAAATCTATGGGACTCAATGAAATGCATCCTAGATTATTTACAGAACTAGAAAATTTTATCGTCAATCCTTTAAGCATACGTTCTAATCTATCTCTAGACCAAGGCAGACGATTAAAGTACTAGAAGAACGCCATAGTAAGTCCTGTCTTCAAAACAAGTACACGATAAACCTGAGAACTGTCAAACCGTGAGCCTGACTAGCATGGTTGCGAAAATTTTGGAAAATATTATTCGTAAGGAGCTGTTTAACACCCAGACAAAAACCTGGTCATTTCCGAGAAGCAACACGGTTTTAGAACAGGCTATTCATGCCTAACAAGCCTATTGGTAGCCCGTGAGAGTTAGATAGCTTTTAACAATCAAAAGCTACCCTCAGATGTAGTCTTTATTGACTTTAAGAAAGCATTCGAAAGCTTCTCATAACCGGCTTTTGTCTAAGTTAAGTAATCACGGGATTGGGAGGCAATTTCCTAGTCAGACTCTCACAAAGAGTACGGGTTAACTTCAAGACGTCCCACTGGGAAATTGTGCTTACCGGAATGCCTCGAGGTAGAGTTTTGGGTCTACTGGAGAGCAATAAAAATAAAGAGAGCCTACAGCTTCGAAATACACCACAGAAATTATTTGAATGATCCACAATTTGACAGTTGCTGATAAACGCTTCCAAGTACATCATGATGGATATTGGTTATAGATGACTAAATGATGAATAATCCTGAACAACCTATTATTTGGACACAATGAACTAAATGTCATCATTATCCAGAACTTGAAAACTACTCAAATTGCCCTGAAATATCCGGCAAAGGTTTTAGAGTTCCATGGTTTAAACGTGTAGTCTTTAGCTATGTCGATGCTAAGAGATTTACGACTATGCATACAGTATTCACCCGTGCTAAACTTGGGTACTGCATACAGACTGCCAACCCCTGCCTCAAAAAAGTGAGTTGTTGAACAAAGGTTAATATAACTGGGACCAAGCTGATTTCCGGAACCGCAAATCTGCCCTAGAAAGAAAGGCTAAATTAAACCAATTTCATTGATAGCATAGAACGATTAGATGTGACAACTAGTTTTTAAATTACTCAGTGATAAATTCACATCTGACACATCATTTTTCTTGCTTTCAAAAACAAATTAGTCTCGAGGACACTTTAAAAGAGTTCACAAGATAAGAACTTGTCAGACGACTACCGACCTTCCCATAGAATCGTCAACGGATGGATCTCGGGGAGTGAGTCCCATTTGTCGACGCTTTCGTGGGAAATCTAGGTTAACTGACACAGAAATCGTAAAGAAAAACACAGGTTACCTAGCCTTATGTCCTTTCCAAACTGGGACTGAATTATTTGATTGGTGCACGTATACACCGCTATTATGATTTGCACATACATTAAAATATATATGATTCTTTAAAGAAGGGTCAGTTAAAATTGTTGGGCAGACGTAAACGTTTTCTACGTCAAAAACTTACAGGTGGACAGTATTGAATCCCTGATTGTCCAAAGAAAAATTCCTTGTTATATAAAACAGTAGCCGTATGCCATATTCCATCGACTTGTTTGCCTTAATTCGTATAGATTGCAAGAAAACGTTTAGCATACCCAAGAGACCAGGACTAAGAATACTAGCTAGGCCACCTGAAAGATCATAGATATAGAGGTAAACGTCTGACATTGCGTCAACATCAAATTAGACGTAGGTAATAGACAATTATTTGGGGTATTTAAACAATTTCGGCACACTTTGTTGCGCAGAAACGAAAATTGGATACCTCGTTTTCAATATACATAATCCCCAAAACAAACTAGTATAGGACAATTTATGTCTTTATGCTTGTTCAAATGGCCCAAGTAGATACTTAGAGAACAGTCTTTTGTTTAACGGAATTTCCTGTTTAAAAGCAATTAATCACTAGTTGATCCATTTTTAGACCCATGTATGTGAAATGAGTAGAAATAAACGTTTAAATCGATGAGTATTAGGTCTAGGTCCCATTCTTCAAGAACAAAATGATTACTTATTTACTATAGTAGGTATAAAATCCAAAATAGAACAATCCGAAGACTATTATTTTTCGGGAAAAAAAGAAACGCATAAAGTTCACAAATTAAAGATGCATTTATTGGTAAACAAATCCTCAAAATAAGAGGTTCTGTACGTCTTCGTCACTGATGCTGACATCAAGGTTTTTAGTGAACACGCCCGATTGAGGGAGATTAGTCACACCTCCACAGTATATCACCAAAGGGTCCGCCATGCGATACCTCTCCTCAGATCAGCAAGCTGGCTTAGTACTCATTCCTCGAGATCTTAACCATCATTCTGACACATTTTCGATCCTCCTTATTCCTGACTTCTTGATTGACTTGATTTTAGGTAATCTCGATCTGAAAGATGACATGGAAAAAAGCGCCATCCAACTCTGAATATCCGACACATTTGCATGCGCTTCAAGATTCCAAGTATTTCATTTCACTCCGTTGTTAGACCTCAATGGAAGTAAGCTTTTTATGGATACCCAAGGGTGTTTCGGATGTTATTGGTCATTGCAGTGTCAACTATGTATTTTCCATACTCTAAAGGGTGCACACATAATGTTTTAAACTCTAGTGTTCCTTGTCCCTTGAAGCGAAGCAAACTGTCTAAGAAACGCTGTTCTTGGCGCTTACCCAAGATGAACCTCGTGTGGGTTGTAGCGAACTGAGACTATATCGCGAGATAGACAAGTTAAATCCCGTTAAGGCCAAAAATCAAAAGACAAGTTGTGACTGGAGGTCGAGATATATTGATTGATGATCTCGTGATATCGAAAAGGTATCATGATTACAATAAACGACAGTTGGTTACAAGAATAAATGTTATCATTCCACCAGTTTCCTTCTGTTCGTAAAAGTACTCCACTGCATCAGCCCCCCCCCTTAGAATAGGTTTACACTTTCGATATGTAGTGGTTGCGTTCGAGAAACTTATCGGCCAATGTGCGATGGTAGGGTTGACGAACTTGAAGCGATTCATGAAGCTCGAGTATTCACCGAAAGTCTTTTCAGGAAAACGGTACCAGCGGTAAGGTGCCAGGTTGGCTGCTCGAGTTAGCGTGTCACAGCAGTGTGGCTCGTATCCAAAGCCTGAAGATTGTGTTCGTAGGGGTTCGGACCAGAAAACGCTGCAGACGTTTGACGGAACTAGATTGAGCGAGGGGGCCAGAAACGACCAGAACGACCAAGTTCGAAACCGTACATACGTCAGATATGTCCGAAACCAGAACACCGACCGATTGCATTGACAAGAGCGTGGGTGATCAGGCCAGGTTTCACCAATATTGACTGAGGCCGACGGCCCAAACAGAGCGATGGTCGGAAGCGTGGGCTCAGGATGGAAAAAATTTGAGAAAGAGAGAAAGGTGTAGCATCATGTAGTATGAGGATGAAGTCCTATGCCGTATCCGTTGTTGATTGAGATATTATTCGCAAAAGCGTACATGGAGACGTACGCGGCGACGGTGGTCTCGTGCGGACCTCGTGAGCCTGCAATCTCAACCGGAGTCAAGGGCGGTGTGGTCTGCTGACCTGGACATCAGACCGAAGTCTCATCCGTAGATAGTGCAGATGACGCGTGCTGTTGACTGGGACGTGACAATGAGGTCCCCGATATATCTAGCGTGGGATCCGAAGGAGAACAAGTCCAGCGTTGAATCTCAATTTATCGGGTAGGGCACTGTAATTGACGTGTTCTGGTTTGAGACGATCAATGCTGACTGCGTCCATCAACCTTGAAGGTCTTTCCGTAACGAGAGATCGCATTAAAAGACCTTTCGTAAGGCTGCTGAAAAGGTTTGCCTACCGAATCTACTCGTATGAAAAAATATGGGCAGGTATATAACTCTCGAGGCACAGCGATCTGTCGATGTTATATCCGAATTCACACCTGAGGCAGTGTTCGCATCTACGCTGATAGTCATTGGACGTTATCCGATATACATAAGACCACTGCTCCGTAGTGTGGAAAAATTCCCCAGACAGATGCAGTGTCGTGACGTATACAAGTTTAGAGGCGGAACATTGAATATCTGCTATTGCCGCTCTGTAATTGTCATGTTGTCTCTAACTAATGCCATATTTTTTACGAACCGAATGGAGACAGTAGGCTCAAGGACTGTGGGTAAGAAGAAGTAATATATAAAGCAAGTAAACTGTCAAACTCACGCTTAGCAAAAACGGAAATGTCCAGTGTCAGTCTGCGAGGCTCACCGTGACTGGGGGTCTGGAGGTGACGATGTGGCTTACAAAGAAATTAATTACTGACAGAATATCCTCGGTTTAGTTATTTTGGGGAATTCATTAAATATAACGTGAAGCAAATAATAATGCAAAATATATTTTGGTGATTCGGTACATATTTGTTTGCGCGTTTAAACCCATGGATTTGATATTGGAAGAAGTATCGACTGACTGCAGTCTACGTGAATAGAATAGCAATAGAACGTCCATAGATACTGTCGTCGATTATTCAGGTTGATCGTTAGCTCCCGTGTACCATAGGTAGGAATGACTTCGGCCATTCGCAGAGCGTGGTCGAAGCATCGTAGCTTGAGACTCGCTGCTACCAAAGGATACGACAGAAGCTTAGGCACAAGTACCTAGCGTTAGTGCGAAATTCGTGCACGTAAAATGAACCAACAACCTGAAGTGACGGGACGGAGACAGGTGAGTCTATTATTATAG